TTTTTGAACCTTAAACCGCATAAACACATTTCATTACACCAAATACACAAAATAATATTATTTTTAGCTGCATCATATGACCCCTTTAAAAACATGCTCACAAACACTGCCTATGTGCCTAGGTGCTATCAATCCAGTTTGATCGAGACGAAGAGCTGAACTGAGAGCAGAAGATATTGTACAGAGAGAGGAGCAGATCTGATCATTATAAACCAAAGAGAGGAACAAGTGAGTGAAAGGTGTGTGTGCGCACATATTTAAACTACTTTTGACTGTAAAAATCGCAGCTAGTGCATAAAAGATGCCAAATAACATTTTTTGAAAGATGCCAAATTTAATTTGTGTAGAAAACATTTCTTCTTTTAAGTATATATTTTAACATCCAAAGAGATTTAAGTAATATATTCAACTGGAAGTAACAAAAAAGATATTCATTGCATTGACTTGAGAATCAAGTGGCAATGAAAGCACAAGCCATTTTGAAGAAAGGTTTGCAGATCCGCCATCTGAGCACCAACTCTAGTAAGATGTCAATAAGCACCGTTTTAATCCAGTCATCCAAAACCTCAGAAAAAAAAAATTCCTTTACTCTGTAAATAAAAGCAACCTCAATGCACTGTCACCATCCGCATTAAAATTCACAACATCAACTGTCTGGATGCATTGCTCTGTTACTGTTCAAGCACCAAAGACGTGCTGACTCTTCAAATTCCCTTGACAGCACCTCACTGTTAGCATCAGCGGTATAGAGTTATTTGTGAATAGCAGTGCCATCGTGCTCCTATACTGCGGCACGACTCCAGCTCTGTTAGTCAATTATCATGACTTCATCTGCAGGCCTCATGGGACAACAGACCAAATCACTATGCATGCCAAACTGTTGTGAACACGGACACTAAACACTTTATTCAGAGTCTTGTTCTGTTGAAATAGGCACTTCTGTAATGTTAATGTTAATTTCAACATTTACTAATGCAATTTTAAAATCAAAAGTTGTGCTTGTTAAAGGGTTAGTCTGATCTTTCCGCTGCGCTTCCGTGTGCGTCACTTCTGAGCGGCGCATGCGCAAAGCCGACCTCCATACGTCATGCGCCCGGCAGCTGCTTCCGTGTACAACTGTTGGCGCAAGACTTTTTTTTTTATGGATGGGCGCTTTTTATTTAAAGGGGTCATATGATGCTTTTTTAAAGATCATTATTTTGTGTATTTGGCTGAAAAAAGAAAGTCATATACACCTAGGATGACTTGAGGGTGAGTAATTTATGGGCTAATTTTCATTTTTGGGTGAACTAACCCTCTAACATTAGTTAATGCACTGTGAATTACCATGACTTTTCTTCTTAGATTTGCAAGTTAACGTCTCGCAATTCTGAGTTTCTATCTCACAATTCAGACATTAAATCTCACAATTTTGACTTTTTTCTCAGAATTGCTAAAAACAAATGCAGAATTCTGACCTTTTTCCTTACAATTTTTACATCTCGCAATTCTGAATTTTTATCACGCACTTCTGACGTGTTCTGAGAATTTACATCTCGCAATTGTTGTTTTGTTTCCGCCACAGAATAAAAAAGGTTATTGCTATCTCACAATTCTGACTTTTTTCTCACAACTGTGAGTTTAAATCTTGCAATTCTGACTTTTTTTCTCAGAATTCTGAGTTTATATCTTGCAATTCTGTTTTCGCCTCAGAATAAAAAGAATAAAAGGTAATAGACCAATTACCGGTTTGTAAACATTCAGGATGCGCGCGCAAAAAGGCACAAAAATATTTGTTTCTTTTATTCCATGGATTTTACCCATTTATCTCCACTTGTTCCCAGTGTTTTTCTGCAACCACTATGCGCGCGCAGCTGCAAGTGACGTAACTGTGACGTCTACTCTAAATTGGTCTATTGCGACTTTTATTACACAATTCTGAGTTAATATCTCACAATTCAGGCTTTGTTTCTCGCAATTGTGAGACAGCCAGAATTTTATTTTATTTTTATTCCATGGCAGAAAACGGACTTCCATACTTTATTTTCGAAAGTGTACAGTCTCAGACTACATGTTCACAGTCAACGTTTGGGGCCTTATTGGGTCCTCAAGAGATAAGTCTTCCGTGTTGTCCTAATGTACTTTGCTACATCAATTATTGGTTATGCTAAGAATGCAATTTGGGTTTGAGAAAATTGAGATATAAGAGGGCAAAAACAGAGGAAACGAGAGACCGGACGAGAGATAGAGAGAGTCCACTGGCGTCACCGTTCATAAGGCCTCGATGTGAGTCATTCATGTTTACCTGCGTCAGATGTGGTAGTGTTCCATCTCCTGAGAACCTTGAGACCCTCAACCCTTCCTGAATCTCTCCCTCTGCTATTACTGCTGTCCCTCTTCTCTAATATCCTACACTGCCTCTAATCAGCCTTTTTCTGCATCTATTTTTCCACTCTCTCCATCCATTCAATATCTCTCTGTATGTAATCATACCTACTGCTCTGCATCCCTTGCAGCCTAAAGCAGAGCAGCACCAAACAGCCGGAGTCAGTTTTTCCAAACGCTCAGGAGATCTACAAGGAGGAAATGCCAGCTATCAGCATAAAGTTTGATCCACATCGCAGCTTATTCTAGGCAAGAACCGCCCACTAAGACAGGAACAGCCTGATCTGATTGACATGTAAACTGACCAATCACAGGCTGCATGATTTGATGCACAAGATTTTTGCATAAACAAGTGAAACTTATAGGTATGTCAACTGCATAAGTAAACACATTAAAAAGGCTACTCCTGATGTTGATTTTATCCTTTTTTCTGACAGTGTAAAACCTTAGTTTATTTTACATACCACTTAGGTCAGAGTAAATCTGAAATCAGTGATTTGACAATAATAAACTGGAACAAAATAAAATGAAAGGTTATTCAAACAACACAAAAGTCTCCATAAACGGTTGTACAGAGAATATGGAAATGACTGGAAATGTGTACAACTCATGGAAATAAAAATTTAAGGTATATTTTTCCAATTGTAATTCTGCTTAACTCGGTGCTTTTAGTACTTTTAAAAAAGTGGCTTGCATTATTTACATAATTTTTAAAACAAAATTACCAAACACACACACACACACACACACACACACACGCAATTTATTTCAACTGTATACATATAATGTTTTATAATTTAATATTACATAATAATTTTTACTTGTTTATTTATAAGTATAGACATTTTTTAAATGTTTTTGCAAAAGATGCATTTATTCATTTAATTAAAAAAAACAGTACTATTGTAAAATATTATTATAATTTAAAATTTGAACATATTTTAAAAATGCAATTTATTCCTGTGACGCAAAGCAGAATTTTCAGCATCATTACTCCAGTCTTCAGTGTCACATGATCCTTCAGAAATCATTCTAATATGCTAATTTGCTGCTCAAGAAACATTTCTTATTATTATCAGTGTTGAAAACAGTTGTCATGCATAATAATTTTGTGTAAACCAACATACAAGTTTTTCAGGACTCTTTGGTGAATACAGTTCAAAAGAAGAATATGTTAAGAGAAGAACTTTTGTAACATTAATAACTGCCTTTACTGTCATTTTTGAACAATTCATTGTGTCCTTATTATTGTGAATACAGTTCAAAAGAAGAATATGTTAAGAGAAGAACTTTTGTAACATTAATAACTGCCTTTACTGTCATTTTTGAACAATTCATTGTGTCCTTGTGAATAAAAGTATTATTTTCCTGTTGAACGTTAGTGTATGTATATAAAAAAATTTAATAAAATATAATATTACGTATTTTCTTTTAAATTAGAAATATCACTTATTAAGAACTCTGGCACCCTATAGAACATTTTGTCTCTAGACAGACCAATAAAAACCTGTGCAGCTTGAGTCTTAGAAACTGCAAAGCCATCCAATCACAATGGAGCATTGATTATGAGAAAGCAACTGCCACCTGCAAAAGTGCAATGTGCCTTCGACAGTCGATGAACCGTTTTTGGTGGTTCATGCACGTTCCATTTGCAGCTTTGACTAGAGCGACACCTCAGAAACAACATGAAGACTCTTCAACAAATTCAGTCCACTCATGATATCACACGTTACCTGTTGGGTCAGCGTGTCCCAGGGTCCCTGCTGTAGTCTCTGTCTATAGTTCGGATGAACATTGCCCCACACCTCCTCGAGAGACAGGGGTCGCCCATCTGCAATGGAGAATGACGTTTTTTTTTTTACAGACAATATGAGTGATCACTTTCAAATGGATCAGGCTTGCGTGTGTGTATTTGTTAACTTTCTCAATAACAGCTCCAAAAATGTTTACATGGCAGCTATTAATGTATTTACAGCGCAAAGTCAAACTTTGTTGAGCACAGATGCGAGTCACCGTGCTGCCTGCTTTCTCAAAACTCAAACACTCCTGTCGAGATGGGATCTCAATGTAAATGTTGAGTCTGTTTTTGCAGCGCACATAAAACCAGACGTTGAGAAAGCAGAACACAGAGGGTTCTGAAATACACACACTGATAAGGGAAGCAGACAGTATATAAACAAGACTGTGCAGTTTAATGATAGAAATGCAGTGAGAGAGAGAATGTCGTGTACCTAACGTGGAGGCTCTGAAATAGAGGACAGGGATCTGATAGCTGAAAGAATACAGAACGTGGTATTCATAGCGCAGCACAGCGTGAATTTCACATACTGCCTGAACTCCAGCCGTTTCATCCTCAACGTTTGCCTAGAAAACAAGACAGAGAGAAACGGGTAGAAAGTGAGAGAGAGAGACTCATGCCATTCAATGACAAAGATACAGACATAAATGTGACAACAACAAAAAAGAATGGCAACTGCTATAAATGAATATCAAGTCAAATTCTGAGACAACGTACTAAGTTCAACCATTAGTTCAATCACATTCTTGTTGTTATAAACTCATATGTATTATTACCATCCATAGAATACAAAAGAAATGTATTAGAATGTTTACACTTCTCATTGTTGTAGACAAAGTTTGGGGTCATTAAATATATATATTTTTAAGAATTACACATTTTAATTCAACAAAGATGCATTAAATTTACAAAAGTGACAGTAAAAATATTTGTTACAAAAGATTTATATTTCAAATAAAATGCTGTTCCTTTGAACTTTACATTCATCAAAAAATCCTGTAAAAAATTATATTTATAT